GACACAGTATTCCAGTTGTGGGTGCACCAGAATTGTGCGGAGCAGTAGCAACACCACCCTAGATCTGGAAGCCACACTTCTGGCTCTGCAACCAAGGGTGGCGTTCGCCCTCTTGGCCACCGCATCACACTGCTGGCTCATGTTCAGCCTGCAGTCGACCAGCACCTTGAGGTCCCTTTCACCAGTGCTGCTCTCCAGCCACTTGTCCCCCATCCTGTACCCGTGACACCCATGATGGCCGGTGCTGGCCAAGCCAAGATGCTCCCGCTGGGTGCCGCTGCCTCTCCCGCTCCCCCCTACTCAGAGAAGTGTCTGGAGCAAGGGCGGCCCAAGCAAGAGAGCCGGGGCCTGGGCCGCTTTAAGAGGGCATTTTGGCACGTGTAGCTTGTCCTGCTGCTCTTTCTTCCCCACAGCATTTGTTTGTTTGTTTGTTTGTCCGTTCCACTTATATTCTGCTATACTAGTCTGAAGACTCTCCAGACTGACCCTCAGGGTGCAGGACTCCCACCGCCCTTTGCACCCCCTGGCAGTATGGAGCGATGGACTGCAGGGTTGCTGCACCCCCTCGCTTGGTGGCTGCCGAAGTGGGGGCCGAGCCAGAGTGCCTCCCCCAGGGGCACGCGTGTGCCAGTGCTGAGCCGCAGAGGCAGGCGGCCGTCCGTCGGTGCTGCAGGCCCCGGGCCCGGGCAGCAGGCTGCCGCACCAGCTGCACCCAGGCCGCGGGGGGCGCGCCTGGGCTTCCCCCCTCACTAGCCAGCTGTGCCCTGAGCCTGCCTTCCCGGGCAGGGCTGAGGTGTGCCCTGCTGCAGCTCTGGGGAAGAGGCCCCGGCGCGTGCGCACAGTCGGCGGGCTGAGCCCCAGGGCAGCCCCGTGCCCAGTGGTGGGCGTGCAGGGGCAGAGCCCTGCGGAGGGGCCGTGGGCGGCCTCGTCGGTGCTGCCACGGAGAGCAAGAGTGCAGCGTGGAGCGGCGAGGTGCGTGGACCTCCGCCCGGCGGTCGTCAAGGAGGCTGGACCCCCTTCCTGATGTGGGAAGGGAGCAGGCGGGGGGGCACCGGGGGCCCGTGGAGGCAGCCTGCCCAGCCCGGGCCTCCCAGGGAGCCGGGAGCAGACTGAGCCGTGGGCTCCTTGCCCCGTTGCCCCCCCCCCACACCGAGTGCACATGCTCAGGCTTGGCCAAGGGGCTGCACCGCCACTCCCGGGGGCCACGGCTGCACTTGGTGGCAATTACCTGAGCTTAGCGCCTCATACCCTAATTTCATGCAATGCTCTTGTGAAAATCAGCTGTGCGGGCAGCCACCGGGTTTGCTTCCCGGCACATCTTGACTGCCTTCTTGGAG